CTTTTCTGTAGCACCAAGTCCATATTAATACAGGCTAACTATCTAGACACATCAAAGCACTTTTGGTAGGCTCCAGATTTCTATAAAAATTTTGCATATTACCCAATTATAATTTCCAGTTTCTATAAATTCTAAGATGGCTAAAAATTTCTTAAAAATCAAATCAATGAGTATTTAAACTACCAAGTCAAAACAAGCAAAATTTATTGATTCAGTTATTGACAATTTTTTATGTGCTTAGAATTTATAAAAACAGCATAAATACAAATTATAGTGAAAATTGTCTATATAGTAAGGACTGGAGCCTCTTGACTTGGAATGTTTAACCAGATTTGAAATCAATTATAAATCAAGTATATATTATTACCAGAATAATTCAGTCTATATAATTAAATTGAACTGATTTACCATCCCTATGCTGAATTGTATAGAAATTTTCCATAGTTTCTGGCCAAATTATATTAGTCAAAATTATATTAATATTGGCTAAATTTAAATGGTTAATATGGATAAACAGTCAAACTGTTGGAAGATTTTATGCAGTTCAATCTCTACTATTAGTAGTTATACCCAGTTAACATTTAATATAAAAGGTTAAAACCTTTAATAAAATCTAACAACTGGTATACAACCTATCAAAGAAGGTACCCAGATATAACCTCTATAAAAAAATAAGCAGCCATGTAATTTATTTCTTAAATTATAAAAATTTGATATAAACTTTTACAAAAGCATTATCATTATTTTATAACTACAATTAATTCAGGGCATTCAATCAGGTCTTATAAAGAAATTTCAATCTTTTAAGTTAATTGTAAGTTAACCGAATTATAAATACTAATTATTATTAATCTGTTAATAATCTTTTAATCCTGTTATCTAGGTAAGCTAGTGGTTAGCTAGTTATCATAATTTAGATATGACTATTATTACTATAAAAGGCTATATATAAGATCCTCTTGAATAGTAGACTACTGGATACTAGGTACGTGTGCAAATCTCAAAATCTTCTTGATTGAAATCCAAACATCTAGATTGCATGTTACAAATGCAAAGTGTGTGTATTTCAAATTTTTACTTTTGATAATACTACTCTTAGCTATCTGGACCCGGGTTTACTATAAGTTTAAAATTGGTGAAATATAACAGACCTGGTCTTTTATATGGCTATTTACGGTACTATTAAATCAAATCTTAACCATTAAACTGATATTGTATTTAATTAATAAATACTATCTAGTCGATTATTATTGACAATATATTTGAAATTGTAATTTTTTTAAAAAATTGCTACTACTCAGCAAATATTGTAAATTTTATGAAATGGGTAAATCTTACATGTAATTATAGTACAAATGTTAATTTGCGAATTTGAAATATATTAGTAGCAAGATTGGATTTTGTACCATATCCATATTATACGGTAATTTATAAATTTACATTCCTGATTTCATGTAACAGCATCACGCAGCTACCTTATTTTGATTTTTAAATATAAAGAATCAAAATTAACCAGTTTTTACCTAATCTAATCAAGTAGTTAGAGAAATATTCACTAGAAGTTAAAAAAATTCAAAATTTTGAAAAGGATTTTAATCGGAAATGATCTGCAGCCCAGAATTTGCTTGACATAAGGGAGCTACAAGTAATTGTCAACCATCGCTTATTTTTTAATAAATTCAAATGACGATATGAGAAAAAAATGAAAAATTCTTAGTTATACGTAGTTTCTTTTACAATCAAAACAATAATATGTCGATTTAGCTGGATCGATGAATTTTACAGATTTTTTTGTCTGTGAGTCTCATATATGCATATGCCTAATATAATAATTATTTGTAATTGTTAGTTGTTTATTATCATAACATAATAGACATTATATATGAAATTTGCTGATTCATGGAAAAGAAATCAGCAAAATTATTAATCCAACTAAATCGAAAAGAGCGATAATGCTATTATTAAATTGTATCTATTACTTTGCAAGAATTCATAATATGGGAGAGTTAGTAGAAATGCATCATATTTTTTTCAAGTAAATTTTTTTAAAACTTTAAACAAAAGTACTCATCCAAAGTTAAATAATATTTTTTTTATTAATAAATCAATTATAAAATTTATTTGAAAAAAAAAATTTTACTAAATTTGATTAAATTTTTACTAAAATATATTCTGTTTAAAAATTACCAAAAGATTTAGTGTGTTTCTACTGATTCATTCCCATATAATTATCGAAAGAATTGAAATTACAACTTATATGATTTAGGACACAAAGTTAATTTTTCATTTTGCATAACATAACGTTCTGAAATTCAAGTCAACAGGACAAATTTTTTTTTAATCTACTGTAAACAAATATATTCATATTTAAGGCCAATGTCACAGACTAAATAGTAGATTGATGAAATCGGCACAGCAAACTCATGACTTTAAGCAGATCGACCATTGAAATTCCAGATCAACTAGTGCATGAGGCTTACTGACCAAATATCGGAAATAATAACCAATGCGAAATCTGAAGAAGAATTTCATGAAGAACAAATGAAGATCTAAAGAGAAGAAAACAAGAATCAAGAATAATTAGAATAGTTAAAATAGAAATTGTTGTAAAGACAAAGCCTTCATTATAATTATCATGTTGTACTTATCTTTGTAGGCCCCTTTAGTTATAGTGATTTTTCCTTGATTTTTCGTGATGAAAGATTTGATTTATTTGATTTATCCTAAAGCCTCTTGAGATCATTAAATTAGTGAAAGTTATAAAAACCCTGAAATTTCTCTCTTGTAAAGAATAATCTTATCCTATGGGATTATGATATTCCTAACATATAACATTGAATAAATCACCTTGATAATATTATATTAAAACTAAACTATTGCTAAATCATCATCGTCACACCTCTGTTGAGTTGCCTAATTACCTAAAACTATCTATTTTCGTATTTTCCATAGTAAAGGATATGATTCACCCCATAACATTTGGTGGTAACTGTGAGATACCAAACTCCATAAATCTTCGCATTTTATATCTAATAAAAAAATGAATGAAGAACAATTTAATAAATTTATAGAAGCTTTAACTAAAAAAGAAGAAATTAAAACCTTACTAAAGAAAGTAATATGGTGAAAATTAAGTACTTCTACGGTACCAATGAAGAAGATCCATTCGAATGGTTTGATGATTTCGAAAGGGCCGCTGAAGCCAATAATTGGGCCAAAGACTGAATGGTAAAGATCGCGTCCGGTTACCTAAAAGAAATAGGGCTGTATGGTATAAAAGAGTTAAGAAAGGTATTGAATACTGGAAAGTGAAAGAAGAAAATGAAACAGATAGGAGTAAAAGTTTCTACTATTTATTTGTAGAAAAATTTGCCCCCAAGGAACGTCAACATCGATGGCAGATGAAATTATACGAATTATGGCAAAAGGATACAGAAAAAGTGGATATATATGCCACTAAATTTACAAAGTTGCTTAATCAAATTAATGTTGACAATGGATTTTCGGATGGGTTTATAGTTGGAATGTTTCTAAATGGCTTGAAAGGCAATAATGCCACTTTAGTATCCGTAGCCACACCTAGAAATTTAGACGAAGCAATCGACACGGCAAAAGGGTTGAAGCTGGAAGAAATTATGGCCAACAACCTTATAATATAGAAAATAAAAAGCAACAAAAAAAAAATGAGTTAGTTGACTTAAAGAAAAGTATCAAAGACCTAGCATTAAATTATGCAAGTTTATCTGCACAATTAAAGGATACCAGAACTTATAGTTCACGAGAAAATCTTTACAGAAGATATCCTTATAATAATAATCATAGGCTAGTAAACTTATTAAACGAAAGAATTATGGTACAAAGAAAAGGACCTCAATGTTATAATTGTAATAAATTTAGACATTATGCTAGAAATTGTCTTTCGGAAAAACCCAAAGAAACAAAAGAAAAAGAAAAAAAAAAGAGAATAAAATAAGAAAAATAAATTATTGTGAAATAATTGATGAAGAAATGAATAAGGAAATATATAATATAGATAATGAAGAAGTAGTGAAAAAGATTGTAAAATGTCTGGTTAAACCTGATTGGAATGAAAGATTAAAAAAAAGAAAATTAGTCAATACTCAACAATCTGAAATAGATGATGAAACAGAGAAAACACAAGTTGATAATAAATCTGAAAAAGAGATTTTATCTTTACAAAAAAAGATTCGACACAAGAGAGGGTCATCAACAATAGATAAGATAGAACCTTATAATGTGGCTAATGATATTTTATCATTACTAGTGAATGCCACAGTTGGTCAAATTATTCAGTACCCAAACCAAAGAAAAAACTTAGCCAATATCTTAAAAAGGCCTTTATCTAAACAAGAAGCTAATTTTATGAATTTTGAAGAAAGAAGAAGAATGACGGCTGCTAGATGCTATGTAAAGATTAAGAATAATCCAATACTAGCAGTCTTAGATTCTGGAGCAGCAGTAAGTATTATTTCTAAAAGACTACTTGATAAACTCAGATTAGAAATCGATGAAGAATCAGTAACTGTGGTGGTAATGGCTACAGGAGATAAAGCCAAAAGTTTGGGAAAAGTAAAGAATGTAAAAATAATGATACAAGATATAGTCATACCTATAACTTTACAAGTTCTAGAGTCTAGAGATAACACATTATTGTTAGGAATGGATTGGTTCCAAAAGGCCAGAGCTAGAATATATTTTGATGAACAAAAGCTTTTAGTAAGCTACCTTAATAAGTCAGTAGAAATTCCAATATCTAATACTGGTACTGAAACCCTTAATTCACAAGAAGAAATAGATGAATACAAAAGTAGAAACACATTCGATGAATTCAACTACGAAGAAGAAAAATTCGAAGAAAAAGAAAGTTGACTACTACAAAAGACAATCCAGCATTATATCTTACTGACATTGAAGAGGTACCTACAAAGAAAGAAGAAAAAGATGATAAAGAAAAATCTGTGAAAGAATTAATTGAAGAAATGATTGATAATGAAGAACTAACGACTCAACAAAAAATTAAAGGAAAAGAATTTCTAATCACAGAAGAAACCCTATTTGCACAAAGTATTAAAAATATGAATCATACGAATGCTACTACTCATAGCATTAATACAGGTGATGCTGCCCCAATCAAGCAAGGATACTATAAAGCCGCTTATGAAGAAAATGAGTTTATTAGAAAAGAAATCAATAAACTTAAAGAACAAGAACTTATAATTGAAATAAACAGTCTCTGGGCCTCTCCTGTAGTTATAGTGCCGAAGAAAAATGGCAAAAACGATTCTGTGTAGATTATAGAAAGTTAAACACAGTAACTAAAAAAGATACATATCCTTTACCGATACGTTTGGAATGGCCAAATGGTTTTCCACTTTAGATCTAATAAGTAGATATTGGCAAGTTGGAGTTAGTAAGAAAGATATAGAAAAGACAACATTTATTACAAAATATGCATTCAAAGTAATGCCATTTGGCCTTTGCAACACCCCAGGAACTTTCTAACGGCTAATGAATATAGTACTTGGAGACTGTATTGGAAATTTTGCTGTCGTTTACCTTGATGACATTAATATCTACTCAAGTTCTTTTGAAGAACACCTAAATCATTTAAAAATTATTTTTAGTAAATTAAGAAAAGCAAAATTAAAATTGAAACCAGAAAAATGTATATTTTTTAGATCCGAAATTAATTACCTGGGTCATGTAATTAATAAGGAGGGGGTAAGACCAGATGAGTCTAAAATAAAAAAGATTAAAAAATTTCCAATACTAGAAAATCTTAGACAATTAAGGGGATTTATAGGACTGGCATCCTATTATCGTCATTTTATAAAAGATTTTGCTACGATAGCCCGTTCGCTTCATAAATTACTAGAAAAAAATATTCCCTACAAATGGAAAGAAGATCAACAAAATGCCTTTGAAACATTAAAAAGACATTTAATGATGGCACTCATTTTAAGGTACCCAAATTTTAAAGAACAATTTTACTTATATACTGATGCTTCCGGCGTTGGATTAGGAGCTATATTAGCTTAAAAAGATAAAGAAAATAAAGAGTACGTGGTTGCCTACGCTAGTCGGGGACTTTCTAAAACTGAATGTAACTATTCTGCCCCGGAAGTGGAATGTCTAGCTGTAGTATAAGCAGTAGAACATTTCTATTATCATCTTGGAGCTAAGCACTTTACTTTAATTACAGATCACGCTGCTCTTAAATGGCTCCATACTTCGAAACCTAAAGAGAAAAGAGCACGTTGGATATTAAGGTTACAACCTTATAATTATTTAATTATTCACAGAGCAGGTAGGAAACACTCTAATGTAGATGCATTATCTAGAATGTATTCACAAAAATAGGAAGAAGGAAAAGAAATTAGTTAATTAAAATGAATATTATTTTTATTAAATATAACTAATAAAAAAAAAAAAATTTTATTTAAAGAAATAACTTACAATATCAATAAGTTTATTATTATGTTTAAGAATGGCCAGGTTGGCATAAAAGTGTTTTGCTAAGAACCTGCAGCACATGCGGTAGTGAAAGGCACTGCCAGGGGAGTGTTGAAATGCCATAGACTAATATTATTTTTACAAGGATGGCCAGGTTGGCATAAAAGCCTTTTGCCAAGAACCTGCAGCACATGCGGTAGTGAAAGGGACTGCCAGGGGAGTGTTGAAATGCCACAGACTGATGCAAAAGGCCGCATCGAAAAGTCTACGACATTGTGAATATCCAGGGTATATTCATGTTCATGTCGGCCTAAGTGTGAAAAGAGCAATAAGAAATAAGAGTTCTTCAGAAGTTAAGATTAAATAATAGTGAAATAGACAAATAATCTATGGATACTGTAAATTATTGAAGTTAAAGATTTTGAGTGAGAAATAATACCCTAGTATTCATTAGCATAATACGAATGAAATTACAATGAATAATTAGTTAAAAAAAAAATTAAGAATATTATACTTATCAAAAGAGTCAAGAAAATAATCAAGATATAAATCCAACATTAAGATCAATCCTATCCAGGTAGTTAGTGTCCTGGTAAAAATTTTGAAGATGGAACCATTTAGATACCAGTTATTAAAAACGTATCTAGTAGAACATACATTACTATGTAAGATAACTCCTCAAGAACGACAGAGTATTCAATTACAAATTCAATTCTTTGTGGTAAAGAATGATTTAATTTATAAGAAAGATAAACATCAAATTAATAATTTATTAAGAGTAATTCAGATATATGAAGTTGAACCTATCTTATTTATGGTTCATACTCATCTGTTGGGAGGACACTTCGGTATAGACATAATGTTCAACAAAATTCGGGCTAAGTATTATTGGTCACAGATGTATGCTGATATCTGACAATTCATTCGTGCTTGTGATTCCTGCCAAAGAAGAGGCAAGAATTTAGTAAAACCACTATTACATCCAATTCTGGTAGAAGCCCCATTTTATAAAATTGGAATTGATATAGTTGGTAAATTACCTGTAACTCCTAAAGGAAATAGATATATTGTAGTCACTACGGACTACATGACTAAATGGCCTGAAGCTAAGTGAAACGATTTAATAAAACACTTTGTGAATCCATTGCAAAATTAATTACAAATGTAAGAGAATGGGACTCAATGATATCTTCAGTATTATTCGCCTATAGAACTGCTAAACAAGATATGACAAAGATAACTCCATTTTACTTGGTGTATGGGAGAGAAGCAAGATTTCTGATCAATTCTAGTGAGAATGAAGAATTATTAGAAGGAACATTCCTTCAGAGACTTTTTGAATTAGTGGAAGTATTACCACAAGTAAGAAATGACGCTGTTAGAAGAGTCGAAAAAGCACAAGAAAGTGCTAAAAGAAGATATGATCAAGACTTACAGCATATAGAAAAATTTAAAAAGGGAGACTTAGTATTAGTTTATAAGGCTTCTTAACAATATTCAAAGAGTCATAAACTTCATCCAAAGTTGAAGGGTCCTTTTGTTGTTTATAAAGTATTAGAAAAGGGTGTGTTTAAACTTCGATCTGTCAATGGAAAAGTAATTAAAACCTCTATAAATAGAAAATTGTTAAAGAAGTACTATTCTAGATAAGGGAATTGAAGAAGAGAGTAAAGAACGAAAAAGGATATGAATCAGTCTAAATTACTATTTTAATAGTAAACAATACATTATGACAACATAATAATCGTTATAAACAATGAAACTTGTATTATTATTTATTATTATTAATAAACTTTATATTTATATATTAATAAGTTAAATATATTATTATACTTTATTTAATTGAACATTATATAAGAATTAACTGAAGATACTTCAATGAACGAGTATATGTTAGTCTGGAAGGCATGAAAATTTCATAAAATATGATAAAAGCTAATTTGGTATCAATTATGTGATCCTCAAAAGAATGGACAAGTGGGAATAAAGATGTCAACAAATGTATTGAAGAATTTCAACTTAAGGCCAAATCTTATGAAGATGTAATTGAATAGAATCCTTTTAATAGATTAAATAATGTTCAAAAGATCGCTGAAAGAAATTTAGATTATTATTTTCATCAACATGGTTAGATGATAATAGAATAATTTTAGATAAATTCAAATCACGCATATTATCATATATAGTGGTACTTAAGACATTACCTGTTTCACAAAAGAATTTTTAAAGAGAATTTAAAAGTCATATGGAATGTAGATTAGTGGGTAATAATCTTGAGAGAACTTAATTGGAAAAGTAAAGCAATTTGTTGATATATCGGAAAATTTAATGACAATTCATGAATCAAAATATGTACACGAAGATTTTTATAGCGACAATATATGGTGATAGATCGGAAAGATGATAGTATAAAATTAATCATCTAAGAATCAATACCATCCGAAGTTAAGAGATTTATTTCTGAAGATACATTACACGTAATGAATATCGAATCTAAACAAAAATGAATAAGAAATTACTTACGAATTAAAGAAGTCTTACAAATTTAATAATGAGAATCCAATGTCTTGGAAGTCAAGAAGTGATATTTTTTTAAAAATTTCACTAAAAGAATCGATATAATGAAGTAACACTACCGAAATTAAAGAATTATGATAAACTTAGAATCTGTTGATTCTTAAGTTATTCTAAGAAGGGATATTTTTTTTAAAGGAGTATTATACCAAATCGGGTATAATAATACAATCTAATTAAAGATAAGTTATTTTTCTATTACGATATATGCTTGATGAAATTTTAAATATGAAGATTTATATAATGCAAAGTACAAATAGATATATTTTACTAACCTTAAACTTAGTAAGATTTTTAAAGGATAAATTACTTATTTATCTAAGAATATTAATTCTAAACTTAAGAGGAAGGATATTAGGCGATAAGAAATTTAAATTCTATAATATTTAGAGATACATTACACTTAAGATACTTATGTTCAAGTGAAATTAAATAAAAAATTATTTCTGATCCTAATATCAATATTTTAGCATTCTGGAATTTGTTTAGATTCATAAGAATTTTTGTTAAAGTGTTGTTACAACAAATCTAATTGAATTTAAAGATAAGTTGTTAATTAATTTATAAATTTAATTATTTTAATATAAACAAAGTATAATTACATATTACTAACCTTAAGATTATTAAGATTTTATTAAAGATATATTATTAGATATTGAATATTTATTTAAATTATTATGTTAAATAGTTTTTAATTTAATTGTAAGATATAATTCTGGAAGAATTATTTAAAATGAAGGTGTGGCAGCTTAGTGAAGTGGTCAAGTTGTCACCCTCTCCAAGTAGCAGGTCTAGGGTTCAAATCCCACGGACG